CCAGCCACGCAGCCAGCCAACTACAACTAGCCAACCCTATAGCCAACCACCCAACCAGCAAGAATAACTAAGTCAGCCAACCAGTCGCCCAAAGCCAACCAATCGCCCAAAGCCAACCAGCCGCCCAAAGCCAATCAGCCGCCCAGAGCCAACCAATTTAGAAATAATAATAACATTTTATATACGTAAAAAAAATTCGTCAGTTCATAAAAATATATAAAAAATTATCAAATTTAATTAATACTAATCAATTATTTTATCAAATTCATAAAAACTAATAAAACCAATATAATTTTAAATAAATCCAATAAATATATTTATAATCGTAATTTTTTAGGTATAATTCGGCGAATATAATTTATATATATATATTTTTGTTATTATTAAAATTTATATATATTAAAAAAATACAATTATATTTTTAAAATTATTTATATATTTTATATTTATTTAATTTCAATATAATTAAAATTTATATTTTATTTTCATCAAATAATTTATATAATTTATAATTAATAAAAATAAATATATCCGAAATTCCGATTTCGCCGATATTACAAATATAACGGCCTTTATTTAAATAAATTTTATAAGAATTTTATTTTAGATACTTTTAGATCTGTTCCCACATCGATATCTACGAATTAAAATTATCTCCCGCGACCCAATACGGCCCTTGCCAAATACACTTCAATCATATCAAGCGTCTTGATATGTAGCATTATATGGTCCGACTGTTTAATACGAAGCAAAGCAGGTTACCATCAGCTTTATCATCATCATGCTCCTCATCGTCATCGTAATCTTCACCGGCATCCTCTCGGCATCGTCCTTGTCATCATCAATCATACATAGTAATAATTATAAGGTGGTTATATGGTAGTATGCTTTGGAAGGAACCCTTAGCATATGTGACCTTTCTTGAAAGGAACCAATAATTAATGTTTGTCCCCTGCTTTCCTTTCGGGCCACACTTATATATATATAATTATATAACATAATATTATACAATATACATGAAAGTTACCAATCTATTCAAACACAAAAAATGCAAAATAACATATCAACCAAAATAAATTATTTTTTTTTAGAGCAGGAAACCGTGAATAATGATTTGATTGATAATTAACAATTAATATTCGTAACATTTTCAGATACAGGAGCTTCTTCACAAATCATCTAATACCTGGATTGTCAAGCAAATGACATCAACCAGCTCATTTTGCATCTTCATAAAGAAACAGTTGCAGTGTTGTTTAGACCCGTTCAGAACCTGCATAAAGATCATGCCGACATTCAATCTGGGTAGATCATATTAAATTATGATAATTCACAAATTCTGAATTGAGGCTGTTTTGGGATAGTTAGCCTGCTCACCACTATTCCAAAGGCATGGGTCATTAAATGTCCCCATTGAACATCACCCAACCATTAGGTATATGGTCTATAATGGCTACTATAAGGTGATGTTCAATATTCCCAAAATGGGACAGTTACCAACCCCTGAAAGAAGCACATATATATATATATATATATACATATATATTGCGAGAAAAAAACCGCGACGGCCTCGTTGAGACCACCGCTCATCCAGAGGAGCTGCGACTCCTCCGTCGCCGGCGGCTGCTGTGACTGCGCTCCTTGCCTTGGTCGCATGGTGGCAAGGATGACATTGGGGCCCTTCATTTTCTGGTTGGAACATGGTGGAATATGTTGGACATTTGGTTGGACATTTGGTTGGAATGGTTGGAATGGTTGGAATGGTTGGAATACGATGGAATATGAAAATGTAAGGATTCCACTTACGATTTTGCCAACACCTC